GTGCTTTAACCTGCTGTGCCACCAGGGAGGGCCCTTCTCTCACTTTTTTTAATCTTTGAAATTTATTTATATAGGTTTTATATCATTGTTCATTTTTGTACAATATTTACTTTCTCTCAAGTGTAGTCCTTGTAAAATTCCCACCACCGGTTCACCTGTGCACCTCTTGTTTTGATCTCTCTTTCCCCCTCACCTACTGAACGTCTCTGATTTATAGTTGCCTGATAATATTTAAAATCTATTATTTTCCCCCTGATCCCTTAATTTGGTTCCCCTTTATTCCTCCTATAGGTGAAACTGATATTTTTCTTTTCCTCTGACTTATGTCACTTAGCATACTCCCAGTTCCACCCATTTTGCTGCAAATAGCATGAATTTATCTTTTTTTAATTGCTGAATTGTGTTCCATTGTGAATCTATACCACATCTTGATCAAGTCATTTATTTTGGGTCATTTGGGTTTTTTCCATATCTTACATATTGTAAATAGTGTCATAGCAAACATAGTGGTGCAGGTGTCTTCTGAAAACATGTTTTTGTGTTCTTTGGTTAGATTCCTAAGCTTGGAATTACTGTGTCATATGGTAGCTCCATTTTTAGTCATTTGAGGAATCTCCACACAGTTTTCCATAGTGGTTGGACCAATTTGCATTCCCACCAGCAGTGTAGGAAAGTTCCTTTCTACATCCTCACCAGCATTTGTTGTTGCCTACTTTTTTTTAATATGTGCCATTCTCACTGCATAAGGTGGTATGTCATTATGATTTTGATTACCCTGATTATAAGTGATGTTGGGCTTTTTTTAGATACCCGTTGGCCATCTACATTTCCTCTTTGGGGATGTGTCTTTTAGGCTCTTCTGCCAATTAAAAAAAAAAGATTTATTTATTTATGCATATAAGAGCCAGGCAGGGTATAGGCCAGAGGTATGGGCGGGTGAGAGGGCTCACCAGAAAGAGAATGGGGAGCAGAATAGGCAGATCTACTGAAATGCATTGCTGAGGCAAACAGTGGGAGAGACAGGAGAGGTCTGCTATGCCATGTGTGTTACCTTCTTGGTGGGGGATCGAACTTGTGCTTCAGTGGCTACAGCTAGCTTCATAGTGCTGAGACTTAATCCCTTGCCCCACCAAGGATGCTCCTGCCCATTTTTTGACTTTGTTTTTTTTGAGATGTGTGAGCTCATTGCAGATCTTTGTGATCTTATCAGTTGTGTGGAGTGCAAAAATTTTCTCCCTGCTGAATGACCCAACTCAGCCCCTGGTTTTGCTAGTTGACCTTCTCTCAGTGTTCTCTGTACCTCTCATGATAATAATGAAAAAAGTATGCAAGTGTAGGTAGAAGTATGGCTTCAGCACATATATTATAGTAAATTTGACTAGCACAGGAAATCCTATGAAATTTTTAGACTGGCTCTCAGTAGCTGTATAATGAAATCTGAATATGTTCGGCCATTAAATATTTCCTTTTCTGATCCCTCCCCCCACCCCTCTTTTTCTGGCTTATTAGATATGACATTTCCCCACTTTCCTGTATGGTGAGGTCATGAAAAAAGAGATTGATTTTTACATCCCCTTTATGAATCATTCACTTGTCTTCCTGGTGGATGTCTATGCACCAAGGATTCCGGGATTTGGTTTCCTTATTTGTGATGTTTAGCTTCTCCTGGTCCCTGTGATTCACCTCAAGAGGAAATATCTGGAGCAAAGCCACAAAGCTGATTAGAGGAGGAAGACATGGGGCAGTGGGGTGGGGAGAGAGAAAGATACCAGGGGTTTTATTGGAAAAGAAGTGGTGATGCAGGGTAGTGGAGTATAATTAAAGTCACCCCAGCCTCTTCTTATATGAGGAGTGAGTTTAGGTAGTGGCCTCACGTAAGATGACAATGAGTATCAGGGGAGATAATCTTTGAGACTAGCATTTCAGTTCAGGAGGCCATAATAAAGTTGAAATTACTTTATATCACCCCATAATTTTTCCCCACCATGGGTTCAGGGTGGACATTTAACAAGTCAAATTTATCACAATAATAAACTTACTGAGTTTCTCTTGTATTTTATATATCATGATATTCCCGCCTACAAAACACTAGAGTCCAGTAAAAATTTTAAACTATCTTACAGATAGTTTAGGGAAGAGACTTGTTGAAAGTTATTCTGATAGCTGGTAGTACAGCTCCTGCCAAGCACCCTTGTGACTTTGAGAGTTCTCAGACTGGAGATGCTCGTGCATGATTTTTCTGAGGTATCAGGGAAACTTTTAAAGCTGTTTCTATGACTAATCAGTCACCAGTGGCTGATTGCCTCAATTACCTCTAGCTTCTGGGTTTTACTGAGACAGGGATTGGCCTCCCACCTTCCCCAAGATTATGCTTTGGAGTTAAGTTTGTCTAACATTGAGGCTCAGCAGCTGGAGATTACAGGGCGGGAGGGAACTTTGCTTGCAGATGAGTGAGAGACTTACTACTAGGAATCACAGATTAAGTAAAATTTTAATACAACGCATTTGGAAAGATATTTTAGTGCTGTGCTATGAAGTTTGTGGTCTTTTCTCTGACCTACGGAAATATATATATATATATATATATATATATATGCAGTATTCATTGTGAAGGCTTTATTACAATAGACTTTGACCCTTGCAGTAAAATACGGTCTGTTTCAGTTTCAGGCGTTTCTGCCAGTTTCCTTTTCCTAATTTCTTACCGATTTCCTTAGATCTATTGCTGTTTTCCCTCTTCTCTCTATCACGCTTTCAGGACAACTGTAGATCTGGGGAAGAGAAATTAGAACATGAGCCTTGACCTACAAGTCAATTTCCCCAGGTGGATAAACTCCACTGCAAGCCACAGAGGGGCCTCCTCATTCCAGCAGTCTGACTAGGCTGACAGACCTAGCGCTTATGGGGGCAGGGAAGCGGCGGGGGGTCAGTATTTCTTGGGCTGGTGAGGAACCGCCCGAGCCTTTGCAGTCTGGGCAAAGGAAACAAGGGTCCTTGGGGTGGGCGAGTGGCCGGGCTGGGGATGCCCGAGCAGATGTGGAGGCAGCTGGAAAGGTGGCTCTGCACTTGGGTCGCTGGAGCCGCCGCTGTTCCTAGGAGACGACGAGCAGCATGCCTGCGGGGGAGGGGGAGCAAGTGGGTTGCTGCTTTTAGCAGCTGAAAGGGCTGCAGGGAGCTCTGGGTAAGACATTTTCTGCTGCTGCTGCTCTGCTGCTGCTGCTGGTGCTGCGGTAGAAGCTGCCGGGAGTAAGTCAGGGGAAGGAGGATCCAGAGGGAGGAGGCTTCGTTTGCAGCCATGCTGAATCACTGTTGCTGATCAGATCTCCCGCTGGTTGGCTCCCGGACGGAGCTCGGATCTCAGGGTGAATGCACAGCTCTGCGGCTACCAACTCGGCCGGGCCTCGCACAATGGAGGGTGAAAGGTAATTACGTTCAAGTGTGTATTGTCTTCTGTGTGCGTGTGTGTGTGTGTGTGTGTGTACGTGAAAGGGTGCTCGCCTGTTTTGTGTTTGCGTTGGCTAGGCAGGGTCAGAAGACCTGGCCGCCGGCTGGATAAAGACCAGCCCTGTGGCCGTCAGAGTGGGGAATCCCTTTCTCCTGAGACGGCTGGCTTAAAAGCAGGTCTGGATTTGCTGGGCAGTTGAGCACCCTGAAAGGAGGGATTTCCTGGCTGGTGTTCGGGAATAGTTTCAGCTTGGGCTGAATCACGATTGTCGTTCTCAGGCTTTTTCAAGGAGGCGTTTCCCTTTCCTGGCTACTATCCCCGGGGTGCTTTTTCTTTGGTAGGGGCTTTCTGATGTCAGAAAAGGACCGTCCTGGCATCGAGAGCTTGTATTTTCACACCCAAGTGCTCCAACCTTAAGCAAGTATGCCATGCTGATGTCTTTCCCAAAGTGTGTGTGTGTGCGCACGCGTATGTACACAAGCACCTTATTATACACAGCAAGTGAGACGGAGACAAACCCATTCCGATGACACTGTCTCTGCACTGACTTCCACTTGCATGGAAAGTTTATGAATGATTCTGGAAGGTGTGTGCTTGCCCTTTCTATCAGGGGTTTCTTAGGAACTAAGAATCCACAAAAAGGATTTTAAATACTTCTGCTCAGCTGGATCTCACAAATCAGAAGGTATTTCCTGACTGGCACATGTAGATAAAATTTAAACTATTATCTGAGGAGCTGATTCCTACATCACAGAGGTGCCAAGTGCAGTGCAGTGGTGGGTCATTCCTCTATGTGATAGAATATCCCCTCCATGCTATGTCTGCCTCTTTATTCTGTGGGTCTGCAAGTGGTAGAGAATAAGGTTTGCCATTTTCCTTGAGGTCAGAAGATGGCAGGGAGGGGTGCACTACAGGAAGAGGGTGAAGATGGTAAATGACTGGTTCGGTGCTAACAGGTTCCTCTAAGTCAATGTTCTGGGGAGAGTACCCCTATAAGTACTTTGTATGGATTGCATCTCGTGCAGGAGAATGATGCCATTAAACTCCTCTAGCCCTTGTTACAACTGGTGTGATTGTTGGGTGTCCTCTTGTCTGAAGAGGCCCTGAGGGACTTATGACTCTCATAGGACAAGTTGGGGCTTTGTGGATTGAGGGTGCTGTTGGTGCGGCCTCACCCTGGTGCTCTTTCCAACAGGAGCGTGGTGGTGGCCTCCTTGTGGCCTTCCAGGTAACAGAGCACCTGAAGGCCTGTCTCCCAGGCTCTGGGCAGAGGTGGGAGGTGTCCTGGTTGTCTCATATTAGTCTGGTAGCTAGAGAAGGGCAAGAGATTCGGGGCCAGGCTTTTTGCTTGTCCTGAGGCATCTTGAGCCTGAAAGATCTGTGTGAAACTAGCAGCAGCTGATCAAAGGATTGCTAGCTAAGTATTTTGAGGCTCCTAATGTGTTCCTATTGTAGTGTTGAGAATTGTAGTAAGTCCCTGTCCCTTTGTTCACCAGACTACTGTCTGGTGTCTTTCAGCTAGGATGCTTGGCGTCTTGGGCTTTACACCTGAATTTTTTTCCCTTACGATTTTATTTTTTCCTAATGGAGTCAGAGTAGGTAAGAAATCCACCCTGAGCAGCTTCTAAACATTCATCAGGTCTCCCAGCTTACTACCTTTTGTTCCCAGTCCAAGCCCAGCGTATCATGCCAAGCGTTGAAGTCTACTGATATCTGGCTCCAGTGCCCATTGCCATCGCTCCTCATACTTCCAACCAGTAGAATTATTGGCCCCTTGTGATCACCCAGTCCAGGGTGGTGACCCCCCCTAACCCTAGAGCCTTCAGTCTCAGAGTTCCTTTTGCCTGGGATACATTTTCCTTCCTCCTTTCCAAAATTTACTCAGCTATCAGGGCTACTTTAAAATAGTCTTAGAAACCTCAGCTTTCCTAGTCCTGGATTCTGAATTTTGGTACTTCTATAGTTTGTATCTTATAGCTGGATAAGCTGAATAATAGGCTTGCCTATCAGACCTTTTTTGTACTTTTGATTCAAATAGCGTACAAATCATCAAACTTGAAGGCAGGTATTCAAGGGCAAGGATGATGCCTTGTTCCTGTGAATGTTCCTCATTGGCTACTGAATATGTGCCTGCGTACCCAGTAGGTGCTGGGTAATGGCTGATGAACTGATTACTTTTGTGGGAAGCTTTGGTAACTGAAAAGAAAGTTGGTGAGGGAGGAGACTGAAACCTTTGGCCAATAGGTTCATCCTTAGATATCGGCCTTACTATCTCAGCATGGGTTATTGACTCCGTGGAATGCTTTGAGGTAGGGGGAAGACAGGGGAGCAATAGACTTGTTTTACAAGTACCCTGGGAAACCCAGGGCCACTGGCCTGGGATCACATGTCAAACCTCCAGAGACTGGAGGGATCCTGTATTTGGTGCTTATTCTGTCCACACTGAACCTGCTGAAACTTGATTGGGGGCTGTTTTTAAGCTTAAAAAATTTTCAGCCTAGAGATTTCTAATGAAAAAATTTCCTTCTTTGCCATGAGGGTATGAAAAGAACTTCTATATTGAAAGGCTGTTAATTGAAATTGTGGGTTTTAGAATAACATAAACCTTGCAGTGAGTTTACTTCACAAACTGTGTGTCCTTGAGTTTGTTACATATTTTTCAGAACCAATTTTTCTTTTCAAAAGGGAGTAATAACCGTGTATACCTCATAAGAGTTGTTGTGAAGACTGAAAAAGGCAATATGAATAAAGCACTGAGGAGAGTTTTTCTGGCACAGAGGAAGTACTCTGTAAATGGTATCATTGGTGTTTATACTATGCCCTGTTGTTTCCAGTGACTTGTGCTGGGATATGAATCAAGGCTTCTTTTAGGACCTTCCTATGTGGGACCATTTCCCTGAGAAAATTAGAGAATTTACCAGGCTATTGTTTTGCTCTACCCTAAATTATTTCTCTTAGTGAGATACCACATAGGGCTTGGCACTTCCTCTACAGGGTTTTCACCAAGACCTACCTTATTCCTCCTTTTAATAGGTACTCCAGGCATCTGGGTGCTCTAGTGGTGTAGGACCATGAGTTAGACACACTTTTGTCCAGGCCACAATCTCAAGAAGAGCCTGTGAGTTTGCACTCACTTTTGCTGTATTTCCCACATTCTCCCACTCACTATGGGACCTTCTGATGCTGTTTGCCCTCTCCCTCTGTGGCTCATTCAGCCGGAGTAAGATGGCTGATCTTCTCTTTTGCAAAGGAATAGGTTCTTTGGTATAACAACAAGATTGACAGGAAACTACAATTTTTGGAAGAAGCATCATTGAAAGGAGATGTTGTTTTTCATTTTTCTTAAAATTGTGGTGGTTTTTCTTTGTTAGAACATGGAAATACCTATGTTTGAGAGGGGTATCATGTGCCCTCCACTTATACCGTGGACTTGTGCCAGCAGCCATCAGAGGAAGAATGCCTCATCCTTGGACCTTGGGGGGCTTCAGAACTGGAAGGAGCTGATTTTTTTCGCTCTTGATCCAGAAACAGATCCTGTGTTCTGAGAAGAAAGTTGAAGAAAGCCTTAGAAAGTTGATGCTCTGAATGCTGAGTATTGCAATGCCAGGTAAAATACTGGCAAGACCCAGGTAAGAGCAATTGTTGAGGACCCTGATCTTTTTTTCTCAACCATGGGTATGTTGCTGAGTCTTTTCCTGTCCCTTGAAGTCATGGGTAGAAACTTTTGTAGAAATTTTTGGGCAGTACTGCTGCCTGAAGCAGATGTTCATTTCAACCATGATAATTGAAACCAAATTTTCCATTTTGGAAATACTTTTTGGCGAAGTAAGGTTTACGACCACAAAAAAAAACAAAGTCAGTGAAAGAAATCTCTTGATTTCTCCACACCCAGATTTGGTTTTTTAGGATTTTGCCTACTAGGCTTTAGAGTGTTAGACAGATCTGGATAATTACATTTTAGAGTGAGTTTTTGAAAGTAAGTGATTTGTTTGATGAAATTTTCCATCATTGAACTGACCTAATTTCCATCCCCAATTTCTAGATGAAACCAAAAACAGGGTTACAAATAGAAAAGCCTTAATAAACCACGTAAAGAATTGTTTGAACATGCTTGGTGATTAGATTTTCCCCCCATTAGATTTAGTAGTTCACAAATTAAAATTTTGTTAGCACTTTATAATTTAAAAAGACAGTAATTTCCCACCCTCAGCATAACTTGGCTGTTTTTTTCTTTTTAACTATGGAAGTCTTTTGTAGTTTTTATCAAAACCACACACATGGAAGAACTCAGCACTCCTCTTCAACCCAAATATAAGCCTGATTTCCAAAAAGCCACATAACAAGGATGTGCTTCTCTTTTAGTCTTCATTTATTCTATCTGTTAGAACGCATGTGTTTCTCTTACATTTGCATTTTTACACTGCCTACTGGAGAAATTTCCTCCTTGATTTTGAAGGAAGCAGTCTGTGAACTGGGCTCTTAGGAATGTGATGAGTAATATACCTATTTCTGAGCTTGTTTAGCTCAGGAAGGGAAGCATTATAGGAATAGCAGTAGCCTCTGGCCAGCCTTGATAAATCATGATGGGCTTGTGTGAAAATTCCACGTTCAGTAGTTGTTACTATTGACGGCCATATACACTGCAGCTTCCTACAACCATGGGAGGAAAGAAGTGCTCGGTCACAGGTCCTGGGCAGGCAGTCACTTCCATTTGGCCTAGTTTTATCACACAGCGAAGAAGCTCAGAGAGTGGGACATGTAAAGACTGAGCACTCCTCGCCCTGATGGATTGTGGACATGACCCTAATTGGACATTGCTATTGTGATCATAGGCCCCGGAGTCAGAGTGGATTGGAGTTGTGTGTCATTTCTTCATTTTGTAGTGGGGTAGGACTTTTGGATAAATCTTATCTCAGTGCCTCAGGAGATAATAGTACCTACCTTCAAGGGTTGTTCTGAAGATAAAATGTGATAGTG